ACGCAGCCAGGAGGGAAACATGCACGTGTGCAGGTGGTGGCCATGCGACAGGGCGGCCGTGGTGCCATTAATGGCGAAACGACACACGAGTGGCCTCGGTAAGCCCACGTGCACGAAGTCAGGACGGGTAGCGACGCAGAGGCATAGGCGGACACGACGGTAGCGTGCTGTGGTGCGGCGGTGACAGCGCTATGCAGCGAGCTGGCATGCAGCGCGGTGACGGGATGGCGGCGGTGCAGGCGGACATGATGCAAGTCGGCGTGGGTGCACGTGAGTGACCCAGCAAGTGCGACCACGTCCAACAGCAGCGGCGACGCGACGCAAGCGGTAGGCCACAACCAGGCTGGGATGGCCTCGACCGGCCAGCACACGCGACCGTGTGCGCGACGCAGCGGAGCATGACCAACAACACGGTGATCGCGCCTACGCGATGAACTCGACCAAGAACGTGCCATGCACGCTTTTTAAAGCATCCAATTCACTCAATCGGTTGACCCAACATCCAAACCAGCATTGCTATACCTAAGAGGGCATACGAGGCTACTAAAACAAGCCATAATGCAACACCACTCTTTAACCAAATCGCTCTACAAAAATTGCCAAATCTAGCTTTGTCAAACTATTTTTTAGCCTTAGAAATTTGACTAAGTCTTGATCAGATTCGTGTCAAATTTGATTTTCAAGCTATTAGACCAGTTAGCTAGTGAATTCATTTTTTGACCGCGGGTATTTCATCGTTATCTATAAAGTTTGTACTTCAAACTATATTTAAGTAGCACATATATGTTCTATAGTATTTTCGCTCAATAAAAATTGGTTTAAAACCCTAGGTGATATAACGTGACTATGAAATTAAGTTTCGTTTCGTATTTCTGTCGACCATTTCGAGTTACGGAATTTGATCTACACCCTATATTACATGCATTAACACATAACCATGATACTCATGACATGTTTTAGCAAAAGATTTACAGTGTAACACCGAGAGTGTTACAATACATAACCTGTATCCAATGTTGCGTACAAAATAATTCTCTCTCTTGATGTCAACAAGACTTGGCACATTCGCCTTGGTTATTCAACTATAGAGATAACGTGAGAATTATTGTTTATTCTATTGGTCATAGCATCAATATGAGCCACTAAATTTCTTGAAGAAATTCAAGAACATACATGTGACTCTATTTATCATTTTATGGACCATAAGATACTATGTAATGCACATTTATGTATCCATAATATAGTCCCAGGTGTGTCTCTTAGTCATGAGAACCATCACTATACCAAACTCATTGCTCGAAATCTTCAATTTATAGCAAATTATACTAGACGCGGGATCAAATCCATTTTATATGGAACTGTTTGGTTTTTGGGTACTATATATCAAGTACCTTATATCCATGATATATTAAAATAGAATTGTAATTTATCAGCACTAAGTTGTTTTCATGGGACCTTACACACTGCATCAATAATTCAAATTCATCAAACTGCACTTATACAACTCCCTACGTTGCAGTACATACGTGGAACTTTGGTCGCAGCCAAATATTTCTCATATGCGCATCGAGTATGTTTTGCACATATCGATATCACCACCCAACATACCAATAGGCATTAGGGATCTTAAGAGGTAACTCTGTAGGGGATTTATAAATTGCCCATATATTGATCACATTTGAGGATAATTCCAGACATTAGGGGAAGATTTATACCACATTAAGAATGTTAGGAATCAAAAGAACAATCCTCACATCCACGTACAAAAGATTCTAAACCTAATCATTTAGAATATCTTATATTTGCATTATATTGCAAAGAATCTACCAGAAACATTTACTGATAATAAGGGTGTCACAAAATCATCTTATCCTATTTATAATGCGCCCGAAAGAATGGAGGTACCAATTAAAACCATTCAACTCCAACTTCCAAAGAAGAGGGGGAGAAGTACGACCGCTCCTAAGGATAATGCTCCAAGTAAGTGTCCGAGGATACCGAGGACAAGATCCTCCAAATCAGTAAATCCAAGCCAACCTCAAGTTGGCAGACACCCAAATGGATGAGCATCCAAAACCCGGATCAAAATCGATCCGGATCAACGGTGCATCCAAATTCTGATCCTAGAATATTGGAACACTCTGACTCCATATGAAAAATGACTTGGAGTCCAAAAGAGTTAACATTTTCACATGCTACATTGATTCCAAACAATGAATCAATCATTTAAAGACTACAAATTATCGCGACATATACTCTCAAATATTGCTCTTCGCCTTACTGGATCTAAACCAAAAGTCCTAGGCAGAGTGTCTTCACACTCAAATTTGGTCAAACTAAAAGGTGGCGATTAAGGAGAAGTGCTCTTGTTTAATGATGAGAAGTATTACCACAATAATGTCTTCTCTCACATAGTCTCTTTTCAGAAGCAAGGTGGTGAACAATAAGAGCTTGTAGCATATGATTTCATGCAGAGACCCAGCATAGCATACCCCATGGTATGTGTGAAAATGAAGGTTTCCAAAATTCAATAATTGGCAGATCAAATGAATTTGATAGATTCGGACATATAAGTCGCAGTGGACTTCACATTCTGAATCCAAATACAAATCGCAACATACATTGTGTATAATTAAGCATGATTGCATATATTGATTATTTTGATGTCATCATGATACAGAAATAATTATGCAATCATTTGAGATACAATTTCCATTATGTGGATTCGAGATGGAGGATTTGAGTAAGACCAAATATACCTAGGCTTACAGTTTCAGCACCGTTCTTCAGGAATTTTAGTGCATCAATCAGCCTATATCCAGAAAATATTAGAGAAATTCAATATGGACAAATCGTATCATAATAAAACCCCGATGGTTGTTCATTCTTTAGAAATAGAGAAAGATCTATTTAGACCACGGGATATTAGAGAAAAGATATTAGGACCAAGGTTTCATATCTTAGTGTCATTGGAGCACTTATGTATCTTGCAAATTGCACCATGTCTGATATCGCATTTGCAGTGAACATACTAGTTAGACATAGTGCAAATCCAACTCACCGTCATTAGACGGGAACGAAGCATATCCTCAGATATCTTAGTGGCATAAATGATCTTGGTTTATTCTTTAAGAGAAATCATGATCCCAATATGATTGGATACATGGATGCTGGTTACTTGTCTGGTCCCTATCTCAAACAGGATTTGTATTCTTATATGGAGGTACAACTATTTCATGAAGTCTTCTAAACAAACTCGGACGATGACCTCTACTAATCACACTAAAATTATTGCTTTATAATAGACATCATATGAATGTGTATGGCTTCGTCAGAATGTTTAACCACATACAACAGTCATGTGGCATTGGTTCGATTGAATCACCTACAATTATCTATGAAGATAATTTCGCTTATGTTACATAGGCACAAACAGGTTACATAAAGAGTAATGTCGTTAAGCACATTGCTCCTAAGCTGTTTTATCCCCATGAATTATAAGAAAGTGAGGAAATAAACGTCTTGCAAATTAAGTCATGTGATAATCTCACTGACCTATATACTAAGTCCTTACCAACTTCTATGTACATGAGATTGATATGCGACGACTTCAAAATTTACAAGAATCAGGGGAGACATCTCCTAGATGTTGACCTATATCAGTATTATATTATACTCTTTTCTTTTACAAGTTTTACTCACAAGATTTCTTGTTAAAGATTTTAATGAGGTAATATTAACATAAGCATGTGTCATATTTTTTATTTTCCCCCATCGAAGTTTTTGTGGAAAATATCAAAGACAAATATTGCCTTCACAACTCATCTATGGTTTTTCCCTAAAAATGTTTTTCATGTGAGTTATCCAAGAGACAATAATAATAATATATCGTCATATTTTCTTATAATTTTCCACTGAATTTTTATAGGAGTTTTAGCAACATATCACTTTAAATTGCTCCTCATATTTTTCCGAAAGATTTTTGGGAAGTTATCTTTATGTCGTATCTCCAATATTTTTTCTCCACTGCATTTTTAATGGGATACCAACTACATAGTGATTTATTTAAACCACACAAACAAATATGCTATTTTCTCCTTATTTTCCAATAAGATTTAAAGGAGTTTTAATGGCATATCCATATATTTCTCAAATTTTTCACATAGGGTTTTTCGAGGAATCGCAGCTTACAACTGCATTGATCTCAAGAAAGATTCGATCAAGGGGGAGTTACCAACATACGTCTTTTTCACAAAGTGATATCATCCATTCAAGCACAAGATTAATGGATATGATTAGATAGTTAGTTTTACTTTTAAAGGGATGTCCTTTGAAAACAGTCGTGTCTGTTCAGTGGTTTCATTTGTGAACAGTCGTGTCCTTTTGTGACATCTCTTCACTTATATAAATATATTTCAGAAATCAATAAAAACAACCATTCTTTTAAATCTTGTTCATTTACATTCACTTCTAACAATTACTTAAAAAAAAGAGATGCTAGATTTTGGAGACAGAGGAAGTACAGCCCAATCATTCCCTCCACATGGCACATGCACACCCTTGGTCCACATGGCAGAGGCTGAAGCTCGACGACCTATTCACTTGGTCGTGTTTAATTTATAAGCCATATTTTTTTAGCCAGAATAGTATTTTTCTCACACCTCAAATTAGTCGATCAGTATTTTCAACCATCATCATGTTCGTTTGTTGGTTTCAGCCAGACTTATTCAACCAGTCAATAGTATTTTCCTCAAAAAAAAATCAGCACCAGCCAACCTAAACTAACACCAGCACCGATCAGCAAACAGGGCAGCTAAACAAACAGTGCGCCGAGCTGGTTGAACCAGACCAGACAAGACAGCCAGGTCGCCATCGCCGGTCTCTCTTCACAATCTCGTTTCGTCGCCTCACTTTCCCGAGCCCGAACACCGAAGTACCAAACCCTCCCTCCGCCGCCGGCCGCCGCCGCCGCACGGGTGTCCCAAATCCGGCCACGCATTATGGCCACGCGGACACCGCCGGCGTTGATGGACGAGCTCGTGGAGGAGATCCTCGTCCGCATCCCGCCAGACGACCCCGCGCGGCTCGTGCGCGCCAGCATCGCGTGCAAGCGCTGGTGCCGCCTCGTCTGCGATCCGGGCTTCCGCCGCAGGTTCCGCGAGCGCCACCGGACGCCCCCCTTGCTCGGCGTCATCCGCTACTGCCACGTGAGAGGCCGCGACAGAGTCGCCCGCTTCGTCTCCACCTGCTCCTTCCGCCCGCGTCGCGCCGACCGCCACGGATGGCGTGCGATCGACTGCCGCCTCGGCCGCGTTCTCCTCCGCAGCGAGCCTTGGAGCTCCAGGTCAGTCTTCGCCGTTTGGGACCCCGTCACGGACGCGCAGCGGGAGCTTCCCGCGCTGCCGCAGTCCCCTTCCCTATACAACAGTATCCACACCAACGCCGCAGTGCTCTGCGCGGGCAGGGGCGGCTGCAACCACCTAGACTGCCACAGCGGACCCTACCTCGTGGTATTCGTGTGCGTTCACACTTCGGGTGCGGGGACGTTCGCCTCCATGTACTCATCAGAAGCTGATGCGTGGGGCTAGCCGACCTCTGCGCAACACTGTGATGTTCTCGCCGGGTATCTGCGCGGTGCCCATGTAGGGAATGCACTCTACTTTGTTGTGTTTCCGTTACGGGAGCTCATAATAGCAAGAATCCTCGAGTACGATTTGGTCACAGGCGAAATGACCTTGATTGACGCACTACCTATGGAAAATTATTGGATTGTGCTCACGATTCTGCAGAGCGGTGGGCTGGGATGTGTCACAGAGCAGAGATCTGCATTATACCAGTGGTCGAGGGAGGCTGGCCCAGACAGAGATATGAGATGGGTTCAGAGCAAACTCATTGAGTACAAGATCCCTGTTGGTCGCACCATGATCACACTTGATGTTTTTGGCTTTGCTGATGGCAGTGGTGTCATCTACGTCGGGACGGATAATGGGGCTTTCATGACTGATTTAAAGTCTGGCAGATTTATGAAAGTAGGAGGGGTCAGTGACGGCGAGACCATGGTTCCATTTATGAGCTTCTATACTCCAGGTGCATCTCTGACTAGTCCATTGATTTCCCAATATTTTTGGTTGAATAATGTTTCAGTTAGTATATAACATGAAAATACTCACATTGCTATATGTTGCATATGGGATAATGGTACTTCTACATAGCATTTGTTTATGGAGTTGGAATATAATATAACTGCTTCGTACAAAACAGTGTTATCTCTACATAATTTTTGTTTTTTTTCAACATTGTTATGGGCCATTCTTGAATTTGGCTAGATCAGTGCTTGAAAAAATTGAGGTTTTTCTCTATAGCGTGTGGTAATATTTTGCAACGATTTTCTTAGATGATAGGCTATAGGCTTATGTTGCCTGCTTATATTGAAAGTAGAAAGATGTCGTTAATGATTTTGCTCAAGTTTTGTGACACTTGTGGAAGCTAATGATCTAGTGTCAGTTAGTAGTCACTAGTCGAGTGCCTGTGTGTTGGACCGGTTAGCATATCTTACACCCAGCATTACACTTTTGCACAAGTAGCTGCGCGTTTTCATGGGCTGTCTCCATATGATACAACAGCAGCACCTCCCCTGTTTTCCTTCCAGAAGCGCTAGAGTTACTATCATATTTTCAACTTTGGAACTTGGAAGTAGCCACATGCACCATTTCTCTCCATCTATCTTCAGCATTATCAACTTCTAATCATGGAGGAAACAACTAGGCGCTGAAGTTTATGAGAAATTGAGAATACAGTGTAAGGAGGAGTTTTTTTTTCATCTAGGGATAATTAATTGTAATTGTAGATGTTAAAAAAGGTAAATCAGAAGTTAGAATGGATCTCTTTTTTTTGTTCTAATTCAGGTATGCTCTCAGTTCAGATATCACATCACCTTGTAAATCAGTTTTTTTTGTTCTAATTAGTTCACTAATTCTACGCATGAAGTGAGCTCCTAACATTTGCAGAGTAACATGCTAGTCATGCACAACTCTAAATTACTATGAACTTGTTGTTCAAACAGAACTCTGCAAAAGATTAATTGCATAAGGACAATATCAATCTGAACTCATTATTTTCACAAGGAAAATATCAATCTGAACACGTTGGTGACACCTGACATTAAATATTTGTGTGATTTTTATTTAAAAACTAAGATTTTTCCCATACCTAATTAACATGCATTTTCTTTGTAAAATTGTGATTCTTATGTCCATTATCCAACAGTCCCATGCTGCCTTCTTCATCCTTCAGCACTCAGAGTCAGAGATCTGCTTCCATGTCCTCATGCCATAGGAGCTCACCTGTGGTAGGGGCTCACCAGTGGTTCAGCTGAGCTGGCCATGAGTAACCTGTTAACGCATTGAAGTGTCAATAGATAGGAATGCGTCCAAAGAATCATCAATAGCATCCTCTATTTTAGAGTGTTGCTTATATCACCCTAACATGGTTCCTTTCACCTGAAAACATTTCAAACTGTTAGCAGTACCAACCAATTTTCTTCCTGGCCTTATGTGACACATACTCAAGTGTGTACCTAGAACTCAGTTCTTATCTCCAAGTTTCATTACTGGGAAATACTCCTTCTGTGATTCTGTCCCAATATACAAGGCACAACTGATTTTTCTCCAACTCCATTTTCATGCGCATGCAGCATTTATGCTGACGCTAGACTCCTCGGCTCCCACTCTGTTGCATGCCTGCAATACACATGCAGGCTCTCTCTCTCTCTCTCTCTCTCTCTCCTATTGATGGCCTTTTCTCTTGTATAGCATGTTTTGTTTGTGAACTGAAGCATCAGGCGTGGGGGCTGGTAAAAATTAATGGCTTCTTGTATACTAGGCCGAAGGGAGTAGCACCTATAGTTTGAACTTGAAAACTTATCAATAGATTTAGATACAATGAGACCAAGAAAGTTTCCTGGAGGCAGAGAAACATTTCCAGCAAAAATGTGTCCTTGAAATGAGCATTTATTCCATTCAGATTGCAGTTCACAAATCATATAGAGGTGACGTACATTTTTTTAAGGTGATGTGTATGTTTAACAGCTGAAGGCAAAATCCTACTTTTTTTTTTTTTTTTTTTTTACTTTTTTTTTTTTTTTTGCAACTAGGACTCTCTTGTCTTGTCTTGTTGTCTAGTTGGTAGATACATCGCAAAGCATGTGAACATGTCCAGCTAGTTGTCTAACTGTTAGAACACTAGTCTGCCAATCTTGCTGCGACAAACTGATAACAGCCATGGCTGAAATCTTGATGGATTGGTATGGCACAGATAAGCGGCTTCCTTTTGTGCTGTATAGCTCATTAGTGCTGTGCATCCACAGAAGATTCAAACCTAGGTACATTATGAATCTAAATATTGGATATTTTCCTTCAGGCTGAAACATAACATTTCAAGAAGCCTAGGGTTTGGTTTGGGTTCAACCTCATGCAGAATAGTGAAAGCACACATATTGTCTTTTTGAATTTTTTTAGAACAGACACGCCTAGTCGACTTCTCTACATCACATCATGCGCAGCAAGTAATTGCCCCTTAATAATTTTTAAAATTGTCATGTAATTTAATCATTCGACCAAATTAGACCTGAAAATGTGTTTCCAACCTCTAAAATTTGCAATCCGGAAAGCCAACCCCAGGAAATCTAAATAGAGCAAAGTGAAAAGGTTGGGAACAACAGATAAGTACAGAACTACAGATGAAGTTTAAACTGGAACAAACGACAGATAACTAGCACAGTTTGGCTGTCATTAGCAGGAATTTGGTGAGTAACAAATGGTATCTGAGAGCATAGTGTTCTTTGATCAATCATCTGATGTTATATTCATATTTTCTGCAGCACTGAGAGTGGGCCTCTAGATGTGAAGGTCCAAGAGCTGGTGCTTCAACTGTGCGAAGGTTTTCTGATAAATCAAGAAGGGAATGGATAGTGGTAACATCAGATGGAAGAAGTTGTGCAGGAACTCTTTAGGTTCTGTGTTCTCACTGCTTGTCTTGTTCTGTTGTCATTAATCCTGTAGCTTTTTGACTTGAAGCTTTCCTGAGCTTTGTTAGTAAGATGATGACCCTAGCATTACTCTACTCCCCCTGTGAGCTCGAAACTTCACCCTGCAATGAGAGTCGGCAACGAGTATGGTTTCTTCTGTCAGAAAGTACTGGTCCCAAGGATTATGGTCAGATAGCACTAAAAAGCTGCAATTATGAACGCATCATGTTACTCCAACCTAATTTTTGTTTCATTTCTGAATGTTGGTGTAGGCTCCTAATCTCCTGAGGCCCGGACTTTCCTTAGTCTTGTTCTTGCTACTTGCTAGTTTCTTTTGAGATCGGCTGTCTGATCCCTGTGGCCTGCAGCCGTGCAGGCGAGAGGCGAGAATGTTTGGGAAGCAGAGCAAGGAGCGGTCAGCTACCAAAGAATGAAGCGGAGGCGATGAGCACGAAAGTTCGAGAGTGAATGATTTTTTTGTACACGTCTGTCCCATCATCCCATCGCCCACTCTTCACCTCTCACTGTCTCACACATCACGGAGGGCAGTCGCCGCGACGTGTCGCTGCTGGCTGATGAGGTCGTGGTGGATATCTTCCTCCGGACCCGCTAGAGCTCCCCGGAGACTCGTGCGCGCCGTTCTCGTTTGCAAGCAATGTGTAGGGCATGTTTGGTAACTTCGCCGGTTACTGTTTTACTTCGCTCAGCAAGGAACTGGTCTGGGCAATGTATTTTGATCATCTATCTTGCCTGCTTTGATTGTCACGCAGTAAGGTTGGTTTTCCTTGCTGCCTTGGGAGAGCTAAATTGGCTCTCTCGGGCTGGCAAGCCTAAAACGGAACCAAGCACGCCTGGAGTTGCCTCGTCACGGACCTGGCTTCCGCCTCAGATTGTGTGACCTCCTCTAGAAGTCCCCCGTGGGTGCTCGACTCCCGCCACAGCCGTGTCCTCCTTAGCAAGCCACGGAGGTTCCGACTGTCAATGTCATCGCCGTCACAAAGTTATACCACAGATAGAATATTAAAGTTCAAGATCTCAATTAGCAATATTTTTTTGACAACAATTAGCAATATATTTGAAATAGAGAAATCATTTGATATATTATCCAGTTGAATCACCTTGCCTTTGCCATGATTACCAATGATTATATTGTCAAAGTCTTCGCAAGCTTTTGAGTTGGTAGGCTTACTTTTTGAAATCCCTTATCCAACATCTAATGTCTTTCTCCAACTTTATGATTCACCTATAAAAGGAGAGTAATACTTTTACTTTTTAGGTACCTAAATTTTGTTTGGTCCTCCAAAGTTAGTCATCAAATTCTTAGGTACCCAAATAGGCCTCCTCGAATGATCTATCGGTGTGTCATGAAGTCATACAGAATCGTATTGTGACCACCTAGTATTGAGGCTGAGTCTTAACTGCCCTAGGCATAGTGTCATTGGATGATCTGTGGAATATCACCCCTACCGTTCGGTGCATGTTCCAGTGTATTTTTCTGAGCATACTATAAGTCTAATCTCACAAATTCAACTTCTTTAAGGTTCTCATCTTAAAACCTATCCACCGTGGGCCACTTTTGTCTTGGTTTTGATGAGAGTAAGCCTCTTGTGCAAACCAAATACTATTCACTTAAACTCCACAAGATGCATGTCTTGGACCCCTAATAGTACGATCAAAGAAAAAACAAGTCCTAATAAACTCTACGTCAGGTGTCTCTGAGCACCAAGCTACACTTGACCCTCAGACTCCTTGTTCGCCACTTTATCAATCCAACCATTTTCGGAACCATAGTAACCTTCTTATGACTTAACCAATGTGTTGATCCACTGCAAAAATACATATTAATCATAAATACTTGTACTCATCAATCACCAAAACTGTTGAAGTTAGGGCATAAATGAGTTCACCCACCAGACCAATTTGAGCATCCGCATGATATATATAGCCTTTTTTCCCCTTTGGAGACATGGGTTCAGAAGCATTGGATAATTTGGTTGAGATTCTATTCCCTTCTCTAGCTAAATCGATGACTTATATCTTTTTAATTTATTCATTTTTTCAAACATAATTGGCCAAATATTTCTTTTGCAAAAATACACACCTTTGTCCAACTGAAATAGCAAAATTAAATTTCACTAGTTCAAACATCCAGATTTAAATCTCGCCATTTTGAATGCAACATATCCCTTTTCTAGAAACATATATTAAAAGTTCATAGGTTTTCCATATGAGTTTGTATAGAGACAAAATTCATATGAAAATTATAAAACTCAAGTAGATGTACAACTTTTTAGTTCACCATATTTTCATTTGTTGCCATTTTAATTTGATATCAAAATAATTGGTACAATGTTTGGATATATTTTATATAGATTTAAGATAGTATTGATCATTTCAGCACCAAGAAGATTTCAAATGAAAAAGATAACAAACTACAAAGTTGTACAACTCTTCGAGCTCTACGATTTGCATATGAGCTAATATGGGAAACTTCTGATTTTTAGAGATATGCCACACATCAAAGAGATATCGCATCCTTCAAAATCAAAATGACCAAATTCAATCCACCTTCCGAAAATTGCAAGATCTCGCTATGTAGCAGGGGGAGTATGAGTACATTTGTGCAATTTTATTTAAGAAATTATTTAATAAAAAATAATAAAATAATAAAAATGATTATTCTTTATGCTTCTCCTTGTAGGCGTATTCAGGAGATTATTTTTTTTTAACAAAAATAATAAAAATAAAAATGGTGATTCTTTATGCTCCTTTTTTGGGTAATAATAGGAATTTATGCTTCTTGTAGGTGTAATTTGTTGGGCAGGTTTGGGCCTGGCCCGTTGCGCAGCCCACGTTTACAGGCTGCCCTGGAGAACGCTCCAGACGGCGAGTCCTTCGCTCCTTCCATCCACGTCACAGAAGACAGAACCGCCGCGGGTCGGCGGCGCCACCGACCACGACATTCCACCGCCGCCGCGCGCCACCTCGCCCCGCCCGCCCTTATATGTCGCCCGCCTGCTCCCTCCTCTCACCGCACGCCCCCCGGCGCATCCTCCCGCTCCTCCTCCCCCTCCGCCTCTCCTCCTCCGCCGTTTCCGCGCCCGCGCTCGCAATGCCTCGACGCGACGGCGTACGCCTCTTACTCCTCTCCTCCCCTCCTCTCAATTCGATAAACCCTTTAAACCCTAACCCCACCTCTCTCTCTATTTCGTGTAGACCGACGTCTCCTACTCGTCCTCTTCCTCCGCCGCGGCCGAGATTGCCGAGCCCGTCCGGAAGATGACCCTCGCCTCGCAGGCGCCACCGGCGGGGGCGGGGCCCGGATCCGAGCCCAGGCCGGCGCAGCTGTGGGTGCCCAGGGGCTACACAACCTCCGCCGGGGACGGCCCTGGGGTCGCTTCAGCGTCCACCTCGACTTCCGCGAGGGTGACAGAGGAGCGGGACGGTGTTTCGACTGAGAAGCTCTCGAGACTCTTCAAGTCTGCCCCGGGCTTTGAGGTGGACAACAGCACCTTCACCGAGGCCCAAATTAGGGCCACATTCTACCCCAAGTTCGAAAATGAAAAATCCGATCAGGAGGTGAGAGCTTGCCGGCAGCTCCTTGTTGTTCAATTTTGTCATTGTCTCATTCCTTCATGTTGTGCCTTCTGATTGACATGACAATGGCAATAGTTTGTCTGACAAATCGTTAAGGATTCGCTCTGTGATACTCAAGGATTAGTTCTGTAGTTTTCGCTAGGCATGATTTTGTCCAAGCAAATGCAATATCCTAGTTTATCAACATTGCCTATTTCCATAGCATTGTGTCATTGTGGCAATGTTGAGTATTGGTAGAGTACTTCGAATGAAATTAGTGCCCATACATCCTGTGATGATTTGAGTAGTGGCACTCTTGAACATTGTATCGTAGATTTAAGTCTTGTTGCAGGACTTGATGGAAGTTATGCTGATTTTCATGAAGTGAAGGATATCACGCATATAACCTTTATACCCTAAGAAATATTTAACTTGCAACTTTACCCAGTTAATATTTTACTGTAGCTGCTTAGCTCTTGTTGACTTTAACGGGGGTCATAATTACCCCCCCTCCCCCGGTAACGAAGGAATGTTTATTGAACCCACTGTGCAGTAAATCCTTGTGGTTGTAGATTGTTCTGGCTTCTTTGGGTTTCTGTTATTAGTGGCGTAACAGTTTGATTTTTTATTGAGAAGCTTACCCTTGATTTTGTGATGACAGACAAGGACCAGAATGATTGAGATGGTGTCTCATGGGCTAGCAAACTTGGAGGTATATCTCACATGTTGGTTTTGCTTTAAAATAAAAAAAAATGGGTGTTTCTTTGTGTGAAGTAATCAATGATTATGATGATCACTCCCCTCAGGTTACACTCAAGCATTCTGGTTCCCTCTTCATGTATGCCGGTCACCATGGTGGTGCATATGCAAAGAACAGCTTCGGGAATGTGTATGTTGCATTAATCTGTGCTGATTATTATATTGTAAGTTTTTGCTATGTCTGAAGTTTCAATGTTTTCTTATAGTTATACTGCAGTGGGCGTTTTTGTTCTGGGGCGTTTGTTTCGTGAAGCTTGGGGAAAGGAGGCTCCTAAAATGCAAGCAGAATTCAATGATTTTCTTGAGGTATTTCATGTTCTGCACAACATTTCTCAAGACTTAATGATTTTCTTGTCTGTGAAGATTATATCAAAATTAATTCAAATAGAAGTGGAATATAGACTGGAACAAAGGATAATTAATTTTGTTTATTTTTTTGTTGTGGTTTCAGTATATAGAACTATAACTCAGGAAAATATGTAGTGCAAATCACATCTTACGTGGAAACATGAAAACCAATTAAAACCATACTTCAATCGCTTGTAAGAATTTGAACATTGTTGAAAAATTGACAGGGAAATGAGATCAAGGTCCACACCTCCACGGCACCTGAATTTTTATCATTTTCATATACTTTTTTCAAAAGTGAGTTTGCATTCAACTTTTCAAACAAAGCACTTCCATGGAGGTGCCAAGTTTCAATTTTTTTGGAGTGATCAGAATATGGTTTTGAATTGGTTTCCATGTTTCCACCTTAGCTGTGGTTTGCACTACATATTTTCTCCCTCAACTTTACGTATTTCTTAGGTAGCATAGGAACAAAGGAGCAATGTAGGTTTGCTAAGCTTTTCCTCAATGTGGGATTTAGTTAGTCGTTAGAATTTTTGCTGGTTATAGTAAAATTTTACTGTTCTGGATTGTATGCTGTCAGTCAACAAGTAGATCAAAAAGCAGAACTCTTATGTGCTTTTAAGAATCAGTTCTAGCGCTAGTTATTACTAATTAAATTACTCTCAAATTAATAATCATCATTGTAGTTGTATTGCATATTTGCTTTCTGAGTCATGGAGGGTTTCTGGCTCTGTAATTTTTCTTATGGTTCCTAATTTTTCTTTGTAATGCTTCTAGAAAAACCGTGTTAGCATTTCAATGGAACTTGTGACAGCTGTGTTAGGAGATCATGGGCAAAGGCCCAAGGATGATTATGGTACGGCTTTTTCTTCTGTCTAAAGCAATTAGTAATTAGTAATTTTTGTATAGTTTGTTCTACATCATCACGGGTAGTGCATTCCATCCTATAACATATGATGCCATTGCTTCGACAATGGATTATTTTCAATTGGATTTTTTTTGAAACAATAAGAAAAAAGGGTCAGATTCTGGTTTCAGCTGGCTTTCATTTACACACACAGAATTAACCATTTTATTGGATTACAGCTGTTGATATATCTTTATCGGGTAAATTTATTGTATGTCACCAATAATTTGTTATATTTATGTCACTGGATTGATTTCTTCTTTGCCATTGTTGACTGGTAAAAGCTAGTAAAATGTTATGTCACCCCTAGTTTACATGGATACTTAAATTTTAACTGTTTATTTTCCTGCATTCACGCATTTGAAAAGTTTTTAGTTGTTTTTTGGTAGAATAAAATCTGTGTCAGCCAGTTTGTCCTGTTCCTTCTATTTATTAGTACTTTATATGATTGACAATTCTACTAACACTCAAATATAAACTATTTGGGCAGCCACTTCTGCCTCACATTTACATCACTATTTAAGTTGCTTGCTGCATTTGTTTAGTTCATTACTTTTTCTTTTATTGGTATTTGCATATTTATTCATCTTGTTTTGGGCATTTTGCAGCTGTGGTTACATCTGTGACTGAGTTGGGCAATGGCAAGCCAAAATTCTATTCTACTCCAGACGTGATTGCATTTTGTCGGAAGTGGCGCTTACCTACCAACCATGTGTGGTTATTTTCAACAAGGTGCCCATAACTTTGTGCTCAGGAGCATTGCATCATGAAGAATTTGGCTGCTTTGTTTCATGTGTGATACCTATACATGTACATTGTTAATCTAAAAATAGAGGGTGAAATGGTGATGTTGGTTTAAAGATGGTTAGAATACCTTCTAATAAAGTAATAATACAATTGCCAATTACTCAACTTTGGCATCTTTCATATTTTCCAATCTTATAGTGTTTCAGAAACTTCCATTACTATGCTTAAGCTCTGCCAACATTTTATTTTGCTTATTTCTCATTACCATGCTTGCCCTCTGCCAGCATTTTCTTTTGCTTATTTTTTTATTACTGGATCATTGCGACGGTCAATAATCTGCTAATGCATGCTCTTATTTTTCCTTGGTACCTTCATTGAGTTTGTTTTCATTATCATGGAGTACAGACTATTGCAGTAATTAATTAACTTTGTCATGTTCATATTGGGAAAACTTGTTCAGCTACTAGGTTGTTACGTGAATGCTGTCAATGCCACTCGTGTGGCTAACTAGCTATTTTGCATGCTTGTATCATTGGATGCCTGCAACCCAGTATGCACACTTTCTGCATGTAATTGCAGAATTACCCTCGCAATCATGTATGTGTTTACTGTTGATTCTGATTATGATATTACAATGCTTTCTGTTTTCATCTTTCATCAGGAAATCTGCCACCTCATTTTTTGCTGCTTATGATGCAATATGTGAAGAAGGAACTGCAACGCCTGTTTGCAAAGCCCTTGATGAAATAGCTGATATAGCTGTACCAGGTTGTCATCTTACTGATTTTCTATATCAGACTGATTCTTTTTTACCATGTTTGTATTTGACTGGCTAACTGCCATCTCTGCTGGGAATTGACATTAGGTTAATTTTGTTATAGGGTCAAAAGATCATGTAGAAGTGCAGGGCGAGATCCTTGAAGGTCTGGTTGCTCGTATTGTGCCTCGTCAAAGTTCAGGGCAAATGGAAGAAGTTTTGAAAAACTTTCCTCAGGCTCCATTAGATGGCGGTAAGGTGCTGGAACTAAAGTTATATGCGCTGCTGAGTTTGTTCTTCCAATATAAGAGTTTTTTGTTTGTATCTTTACCAATTGTAAGTATTATTAGTCCTGCTTACTGGCCATGGTCAATGATCATCCTAGTAATAGTAGTAATATTCTTAGAATGGAGACAAATGATATAATAAATCAAGACATGTGAAATAATGCCAATAAAAACGTTTGAACTTTTGAGGGGCAAAAAATATTGTTTTCTCATAATGATTTGGTCTGTCGCATATAGTATGTCAGACAGGTTTATTGTTTTCTCTTAATGTTTCCCATGATGTCAAGAACTGCAAATTGGCTCTTAGGGTTGATTCTTGCTGGGTAGATTCTGCGAACTTGAACAGAACCCGAGGTTCAGGGAAACGCACAGAACAGAATCATCTTCCCTTTTGAAAATATACTTGTATTCTAGAAATGTTTTCTGATGCATTTGGGGGTGCCTTAACTTCTAAGAAGACTTAATGCAATTGTGTTATGAGCTAGTAATTATTTTAGCTTTTTATTATTCATTTATTATTTATTTGCTGTTGCAGGAGACTCAGATTTAGGACCAAGTTTACGAGAAATTTGTGCTGCTAATAGGTCAGATGAAAAGCAGGTATTAATGCTGTAAATTGGTATTTGCTCGCCATGAGGCATCTTACTTTGTGTTTGTTCAACCTTGCTATAACTTCTTTATAATTGTACATGACCAGCAAATCAAGTCACTGCTTGAAAATGTTGGAGCTTCAATGTGTCCAGATCATTCGGATTGGTTTGGAAATGGTGGACTTGATGCTCAGTCGCGAAATGCTGATAAATCAGTTGTCACGAAATTTTTGCAAGCACATCCTGCAGACTATGCAACTAAGAAACTGCAGGTAAGCTCATTGGTATCTGGCCGAGGATAGATATTTCCTGACTTAATGGGTATGATTTCATCATTCATAACATCACTACAACAATAAACCAATAACTATGCAGATGTGTTATATTACCTTTGTTGGCTGTTACAGGAGATGATTCGCTTGATGAAACAGAGGCACTTCTCAGCAGCTTTCAAATGCTACTGGAACTACCACAAGATTGATTCTCTTTCAAATGACAACTTGTACTACAAAATGGTTATCCATGTGCACAATGATTCTGTTTTTAGACGATACCAGCAAGAGATGAGGTGAGCTTGTGAAGTCAGCCTTGTATATTACATTACCCTTTATATCATTAATAACTCTAAAACCTATGCTGCTGTCTTTAGGAGAAACCAAGGGCTGTGGCCTCTATATAGAGGTAAGCTGAGGCCTTCACATTTCAAGTATGAGCGGAGGTGTGTTTTACTGACATGTATTCCATGGTTAGGTTTCTTTGTTGATGTGAATTTGTTCAAGGCGAACAATAAGAAGGCAGCTGAATTAGCCAAAGATGGTGACGCTTTACTGAAAAATATCAATGGTGCCTTGGATTCAAATTCTTCAGCTGTGGATGGTCTGGCTGATGAGGATTCAAATCTAATGGTTAAACTAAAATTCTTGACATATAAGGTATTATTGGTCGCTTCTTGAGGACCACACTGGTGTTTGTTACTCTGGATTGTCCAGGTTCATTTTGGTGTGCTTCTAAAATAAGTTTGGAAATGTTATTGCTATGCTTAGTGTTTCCTATTCCTGTCATCGTGATCTAATCTACTTTTGTTATTTATATGTATGTCTTCCGTTTGCTTCGAAGCTATTTTGTTTTTGAATGTGGAAGAGGACTAAAACCATTAAAGTTAACCTTTGTTTTATTTTGAATACGCATCCTCTAACAATTATGTTATTTTATTTGTTGACAGTTGCGAACATTTTTAATTCGTAATGGATTGTCTACCCTTTTCAAAGATGGACCAACTGCTTATAGAGCTTATTACCTAAGGTATGCTATGTATGCAAATTTTAAGTTTCACAAGTATATTTTCTGCAACAGAGTGGGTTATCAATGAAGAATCGAAACGAGAAAAAAGTTTGCTACTTTATTGTGATACTGCTCTAGTTAAGATGTCTCCACAGTTTGTGTAGTGTTAGAAAAACAGTGCTAATGCATCCTCTAGACCTCTGCCTATTTAATAATGCTAACATCTGTAAAGTGTAACTTACAAATTCATATTTTTGATATTCAACTTCTTTTCTTCATCACATGACAATTGATGCTTGGTTATTTCAATCTTGTAAAGTAATTGTGCTGTAAGTTCTGTACTAATATATTTATATTTTTTTTGCTGCTGTACTGATTGATGTAATGTTTGGAGGTTTAAGTCATAATGTCATATATAACTATTTAATTTGAGCTGTAAATTATGTACTACTTCAGTTGGTGCCATACGGCTGAACAGAAATTATGCCAGCTCTCATGTTAATGCCTTTTTTTTTGTTGATAGGCAAATGAAGAACTGGGGAACATCAGCAAACAAACAGAGAGAGCTTAGCAAAATGTTGGATGAATGGTATATTATTGCAACATTCTTTCTCTTATGGAACTGCGAATGTTCCTTCATCAAATATGATTAGTTTACTCATTTCAGGGCTGTCTACTTTAGAAGGAAGTATGGGAATAAGCCACTCTCATCCTCAACGTACCTTAGTGAAGCAGAGCCTTTCCTTGAACAATACGCCAAACGCAGCCCTGCAAACCAGGCTCTGATTGGTGCTGCTGGTAACCTTGTTCAAACCGAAAACTTCTTGGCCGTTCTTGATGCAGAGAGAGATGAAGAGGGTGATCTCTGGGCAGATCATGGGGCAGCACCTTCCAGTCCTGTGTCAACATCTGTTGACGTGGTTCCCAAAACAGAGGGCCTTATAGTTTTCTTTCCAGGTACTTACTGCTGATATATTTTTAACAACTTATTGTGTCATTTTCATTCTTTAGAGTAACTGAGACACTGGTATATTTTCGCTGATCAACATTAAAAAGAATGAAAATAATTTTATTTCACTGGTTTGTGGGTATCCAAATATAATCTAAATAATAGCTGATATCAAATTTTGTAAGAAACCGTTAGTTATTCTTAAATAAAATCTAGGTCTTAAGCTTACTGGTTTAGGTTTTCTTAAGCCATCTGAATTCTGAATACCCATTAGTTCTAGCGTCTATTTTGTTTTGTTTGGACTTGTCTCAATGCTTGTACAATAGCCTGTTGAATAATATGGACTATATAAACCAAGTAATTGTCAAAAAGTTGTAGCATCCATTTTGTTTCGTTTGAACTTGTCTCAATGCTTGCACAATAGCCTGTTGAATAATATGGACTATATAAACCAAGTAATTGTCAAAAAACTATGTTGGTACTGTTAATATTGTTTCTCTTGTACTTATCTCAATGTTCGTACATTAGCCTGTTAAATAGCTTATGGACTAGATAAACTAAGTAATCGTCAAAACTATGTGGTACAGTGTCAATAGATTAAATTAGTTTTTTTTACCAATCTTCATCCTACAATGTTGTTTACTATTAAAATGGGGTTTTCAATTCTTGATTCTGATTTAGCATTTTCCTTTCAGGTATACCTGGTTGTGCAAAGTCTGCTCTGTGTAAGGAAATATTAAACACGCCTGGTGGCCTTGGAGATGATCGCCCTCTTCATAACTTGATGGGGGATCTTATTAAAGGTACAGAGCATTTGAGACGTTATCTAGTCTTATATGCTCGCTTGGTTTATTGGAGTAAAACATGGCCTCAGTTAGTGGTGGACAGTGCTGTTCTTAGTTCTCAACACAATGAACCGTGCACAGTGTGAACATTCAAATGAACTAGGATCTGGCCATTCACCTGCTTTTGCACCTTTGTTAAGGACATACTATCGTGCACAATGATTATGGGTTAACCGATGTGTGCTTTGTCCTGCCAAGATTTTATATTGAACATTCTTTTCTATCAAGAAGGGCATCGATCACCTTCTAATTGCCAGACGTTTCCCATGCAACGGATGATCTAATCAAAACGATTTATAGTTGATAAAAGTCATTTACTCTAGTATACTAGAGTGGGCTTGCAAATGCTTACCCCCAATTTGATGAGACTTCCTGTGATGCTTGGTGGGAAAGAAGTTCAAATGCAGTGGCTGTTCACTTAAAAACGGGCCTCAACTCCATCATCATTTTAGGAGCATGGATTTTGTGGAATATTCGTAATTGGTGTGTGTTTGATGCTGATTCTCCAAACCTAGCTAGAACACTGTTGTTCGATAGTGAGGAGCTTATTTTTTGGGGGGTTTGGCAGGGGCACGAGGAATCAATTACCTACTTGCCCTGGGGCTGAGTGGGAGTTAATTTTGGGTTGAGGTCATCTACTTTATGTAATAAGGGCATGTCTATTTAATTTGAACACAGTGGTGTGAGTGGGTGTGTCTTGTATGGGTTCCTTTCCCATTTTTTCTTCTTAATATAACGATGCACGGTTCTCCTGCGTGTTCGAGAAAAAAAAAATACTGTAATATTCTATTCTATTGCTTAATTCCTAAAGCAAGACTTGGTTACCTTTATATAAGAACCATAGTTACCAGAATGTGTTCTTGGTTTGCAACATTCTATAAGTTATGTTCGCTAGGGGAATGTCCCTGTGGTTAGTGAATTGAGATTGGGGTTGTGAGTTCGTATTTGGGTTTGTGATTTCTGAATACAAAGAAAAGAGATTGTACTCCCTCCGTTCCAATTTATAGGTCGTTTTGGCTTTTCTACATGCACAACTTCTATTATGTATCTAGACATATTGTATATCTAGGTGCATAGCAAAAGCTATGTTCCTAGAAAAGCTTAAATGACCTATAATTTGGGACAGAGGGTGGTAGTAGTTAACATATTGGACCAGCCCAATCCGAGCTGCCATTTGCTTGTTGGCCATTTAGTCGATCCCTGCCATGTGCTGCCCTAGCACACTGAGTTCAACTTCACGTCCAAAATATCTCAACACTCATGCACTGCCACTCGTTCGTTTTGCTGTCCTCCTTTTTTCTCTTCAGTGAACACAGCTCTGCCACTCCCCTCCAGCATGAATCCCTAACTGGTGGCCATCATCTCTCATCAGTGACTAGCAAAATGGATTTTTTAGACCATAGCTTTGGCCCGGCTTTATAGAAAGTTTAAGAAGTGATGGCTGGGATTACCAGCTTACAGAACAAGAGTACTGAGTTTACTTACTCAAATTCAAAAAAAAAAAACACTCAACTAACAAAAGCTAAATGCAAAGTAAGATCATCCCGCCGTAGCTAACAAGCTAAGTACAAGCGACAGAGATCCCACAGCCTTGTTTTCTGGTGCTAGAACCTCCAGCATTTCACACCATCACCAGCTTGTCAGTATGTGATGCTGCAGCAGCTAGCTTCTCCACGTGTGGTATTTCCTCCTTCCTTGCCATCCTGCTCCAATGCTGTAAAAAACCCAGAATCCAATAAGGTACTCCCTCTGTTCCAAATTATAAGACATTTTGACTTTTCTAGATACATAGCTTTTGCTATGCACTTAGATATACACAATGTCTATATACATATTTAAAACAATGTTTCTAGAAAAGCCAAATGTCTTATAATTTGAAACGGAGGGAGTACACATTTAGGTGAAGATACTGACACATTAGAAACCCCCCTGAGTCATTTGTAGTTTCCACAGACTCCAGCACACCCCAGCTAGTATGAACTAACTCTAATTTGATTTGTTTTGTTCCTCCCTCAGAATACAATCCTCAAAATATTGTCAGGATGTTGGTATAATTGGCCACTGTAAGCTTTCCCTAATCCAACACAAGACCAACACTGCTAAAGAGCATCTGAAAAAAGATGATCTGCTGATTCTTCTTTCCCACAAAGTTTACAGAGTTTAGATCCATCCCACTTCATGATCCTCAACTGATCTGCAATCTGTTATGCCATAATATCCACAAGAAATCTAGATTTTTAGGGGAATTTTGGTTGCCCACAGTTTTTGCATCCTAAGGTCAATCATCCGCCGAAGGTAATAAATATGTAGAGTTATCTGCTAGTGAACTTCCTGACAATTCCAATATCCACATTACTCTGTCTTGTGCCCCTGATAAAGTTACTGACTCTAGTTGCTCTATCAGCTCAAGCCATTCACCTCTTTCTGTTGGTCCAAAATTTCTTCTAAAGCTTAGATTCCAGTTGTTCTCCCGGCCTCAGTGTCGGTGTTTCGAATAAACACCAACTAGTAAATTTATCTTTGTTGCGCGTTAGGCCTGGATGGTGTGCTAAAAGACACAAGGTTTATACTAGTTCGGGCAGAATGTTCCTACGTCCAGTTTGCTGCTGCTCGTGTTATTAGCACTGAAAAAGGTTCGTAGTAAGGGGTACAAATGGTCGAGAGAGGGACAAATCCCAATTCTCTGATGGAAAGGTCGAACGAGTACTGAGAGCTCGGTTGCTGCTCAGCTGTGTGTAATGTGGTGCATGGTGTGTCGAATTGATCCGTCCCCTTAGTGGGGTGTCCTGCCCTCCCTTTTATAGATCAGGGGGAGTACGGATTACAGATGGGAGAAAGAGGAAAAACTAGAGGCAAAGAAGGTCCTTCGAAGGTGCTGGGTCTTCCTTTTCCTTTGAGCCTGCCCCGCTGACACGGCAGACGGTGCCAGGGATAGCACGTTCGCTAATCCTGATAGGGCCGCATTCTGGCTTCATTCAGCAAGTGGTCATGTCCCGTCCCGTCCCGGCAGACGGCGCGGTGCAGCAGGGTGCCGAGCCGCGACCCTATGGGGAGTAGATGGCGTAGAGGCCCCACGTTCGTTACTGCAGATGACATGAGCTTCGTTCTTGGACCGTAGTGGTTGTCGTATGTTGCCGTCAGGATTCGTGTCCGAGGGCAAATGCCGGCGCCCATAACACTGTAGGATAAATGTCGGCGTCTACAACATTGTTTGGGCTCTGACATGCCTGGAAAGGCTTAAAGCCCCCGTCTGGTCATGTCCTGACGGTACTTCCCTGCAGGCGTGCAGGGTATGGTCCTCGGTATTACGGTTGACTTGAGTGCCCCGCCTTATCTGCACGCGTAGTTATGAAGGAGTAGCACACAGACGTCGGGCGAGGCGGAGCCCGCCCTCGGACGTCGGACGAGGCGGAGTCTGTCGCCGGACGTCGGGTGAGGCGGAGCCCAGCCCCTGGACGTCGGGCGAGGCGGAGCCTGCCCTCGGACGTCGGGCGAGGCGGAGCTAGCCCTCGGTTGTTGGGCGAGGCGGAGCCTGGCCCCAAACGTCGGGCGAGGCGGAGCCAATCTTCAGTCGTTCGGGCAAGAAGTGTAGCCGCGTTCTTGTCTATTCAGAAGCATCAACGTTTGATGGTTCATTAGCTCCTCTTTGGGTACCCCGGTATTCGATCCCCGACACTCAGGTATTATCTGTTGATTATTACAAATGCGATAGATGTTTGGGTATGCGGTTTTCAGAGGGCAGTCCATGATCCATGGTGGCTTCCCTGACAGCATTTCTTGCGTCTCAGCCCTTGGCGCTGCCATTTCCGACACTGGCCACATCCCCTGCCCTCCGTCTTCCATCCTCAACTCCTGCGTCCATGGTGCAGCATCTCTTGCATCTCAGCTTTGGTGCTGCTGCCATCAGTTAAATTCTCAACCTCTGATGTTCAAATCTCCTATCTTTTTGTCAGTTTGGGTTGCCCAAGCCCTTTGTACCCTCTGTCATTTCAGAACTATTCAGTTCGATCGTGAACCGCTAATAGGTTCGCACAAACTGAATCGGGTCTGCTGCCAGCCGTACGCTCCACTATGATAAGAAGTACATGCTGGCCTAACTAAATCACGGAACATGACACTGAAATAGACTAGGAGGCAGCTTTATTAGTCTAATTATAATTATACTATGAACAGTAATAGCCATTTCTCAGACCACCACAGGCTCAGCTGAATCCTATTTGGTTGATGACCCAAGCTAGGCTTCTAGAATGAGTCTAATTGGACTATTTTTTAACTATTACAGGAAGATACTGGCAAAAGGTCGCTGATGAAAGAAGAAAGAAACCAGCTAGAATAACCCTTGCTGACAAAAATGCACCAAATGAGGAAGTTTGGAAGCAGGCAAGATTGACATGATAAATCATAGCAATTTTTTTTGCATGTTTTCTGGTTTGACGTTTTAGGCTACTTTAACAGTAGAGATAGAACTGATAAATCATTGTTTCCAGATTGAGGATATGTGTGGGTCCACAAAAGCAGCTGCTGTCCCTGTGGTTCCTGACTCAGAAGGTATCCTACGTACTTAATAATTATTTTTCATTCCCTTATCTCTTGTTCATTTTTATTTTACTTCATGTGAACATTGATGGTGAACTGCCGATTCTTCATATAGTTGTGGGCTGCAGTTTGGATTTGTGACATACAACATCACACCTTAGCTTGAGCTTCCAAATTACAGCTATTAACTTATTATGGGCTTGAAGAGCCCTTGAGCGGTGAATGATTTAAAGAGTACTGTAAAAAGAACTATTTTGGTGTACTGCAGTAGGGCCTTGGGTTTTGTATATAACCAAATATGATTTTTTAGATTTTAGAAGAACAGTACTATCGTTGGCTCATTTTCTTGCATCATTAAGTTTGATCATGTAGCTTTTGTTCTGGTTTCTTGATTTGCCAGGCACAGATTCAAATCCATTTTCTCTTGACGCTCTTGCTGTTTTCATGTTTCGCGTCCTCCAGCGGGTCAATCATCCAGTTAGTAGTCTATATTTACTCATGCAAATATGTTAAGTCATTTTTATGTATTGTGAAATGGCTGATATTATATTAACTTGTAATTTGAAAGGGAAATCTGGACAAGGCCTCACCTAATGCAGGCTATGTTTTGCTAATGTTTTACCACTTGTATGATGGGAAGGTATGTATATATCATGGAAAATTGTTTTTAACTACTGAAATATGCCAAATCACCAACACTGCCAATTTCAGAGTCGAAGAGAATTTGAAAACGAACTGTATGAACGTTTTGGCTCCCTTGTTAAGATGCCTCTCCTGAAGCCAGATAGGTAGGAGTTTTTTTTTTATTTGCATTGTTTTGCTCTGCTTTTTTTTTTTGAACTCAACGATGAGCTATGCTATGCAGTTACAGAAAAAATTATGAAGATGTTCAATACACTTATTTTCCAAGAAAAATGACTGCTTTCAATATTGTGTGCAAGAAAAATAATATCATGATGATGTGACTTGTATTGTTTTTTCCTGATTTCAGAGCTCCATTGCCTGGTGCTGTGAAAGCCATCTTAGATGAGGGGATTAGCTTGTTCAGGATGCATCAGAGTAGGCATGGAAGGTATGAAACTGATAGCCATATTAATATTACAACCCCTTTTTTTAGCACATTGTGAACATTAAACTACACTTTGGTTGTGTAGGGCGGAATGCCTTTCTACAATAGCAGACTAGCATTCCTAAAAAAAAGCAGACTAGCAGTATAGCACTTCTTGTATACATAGTATTACTTCATGTTTCATTCGTAGGAGGAATGCCTTTGTTCAATCTTCAATAGCACTTGTGTGGGAGGGAATGTTCTTCAAAGCACCTTTTCTCCAGAAACAGTTAATCACATTTGTAGTAGTATTACTTCATCTGATGATGTCGACAGAACTAGTGCTTCATTTCTGAATTCACATGTCTATATACATTGCCTGATGTTTTGCAAAACAATGTCAAATCAGAGCAGAGCCATCAAAAGGTTCATACGCTAAAGAATGGGCACAGTGGGAACAAAGGTTACGTGTGACCTTGTTTGGGAATGCTGATCATCTTAACTCAATTCAGGTAACCATATTTCACTTATTAACCATTCAAGATCATAATGGTTGCTGAATGTTTATACACATTTTAACACATGGGGCTACAACAAATCTACGACGACTACGTAGTTTGCAGGAGTCATTTCTTTATACTTCATATGTGAGGACTCCAATAAGGACTCGGAGGTTACTAGATTATGCCATGCAAGTCCTTCATCCACCTCTCTTGCGTGTCTGAGGAAAAAAAGTCCATCCACCAATGCTATGAATTAATTATCATTAAAAGAATTGTTTTCTTAGGCCAAATTAAGTTACTGGTAGATCAGTAGTCTAAATTGGCTTTACCTTATGTGGGAATGGGAGCACCATACTAATGTTAATATGATGTAGCAGTAGCATTTTTCATTTTCATGCGATGTGCTTTAATCAGGGATTTTGTTACTATGCACTGATCCTAATCCTGTACACTTACACCACAAGAGTCTGTTAAGCACACAGAAATCATGATGCAGTTCTGATGTTATCTATACTTTTTTTCTAGGTTCCTTTTGACTATGCTGTGAAAGAAGTACTGGAACAGTTAAAAACTATTGCAAAAGGTGATCTCAAAACACCTGATACTGGGAAGCGGAAGTTTGGCAATATCATGTTTGCTGCTGTTCGATTAACCCCACCTGATATATTGGGCCTTCTCCACAAGGTAAGAACTGTATAGCTATGTTTGAGAAATAGTTCTGTATTTTGCTGTGAAGGGCTCATGGTAGCGTGTTTGCTGGAATCCTTCTCAGCCGTGGCCATGTGCTGTGCCACTAGGTTGTCTCTGCAGCGACGATGTTGCAATCTGACACTTGTTCTACGCTGCATTACTGTTAACAGGTGGTAGAGAAGGACACAGCTGTCAACAGTTTCCTCAACAAGATAAGACTGGAGGACAACCTAAAGAAGGCTCACGTCACCCTTGCCCACAAACAAGGCCATGGTGTGGCTGCTGTCGCAAGCTATGGCATCCACCAGCACCAGGAAGTCCCTGTCTCATTCAGCGCATTGTACTACACTGACAAGATGGCCGCTCTCGAGGCACAGCTCGGAGCAGTAAACGATGAGCAGATCAATTCCAGGAACGAGTGGCCACATGCTACCCTGTGGACAGCTCCAGGTGTTGCGGCAAAGGAGGCAAACGTGCTGCCGCAGCTGGCTTCAGAAGGAAAAGCAGAACGGGTGCCGATTGATCCTCCCATCACCATATCGGGGGTGGTGGACTTCTACTGATTTGTTTCCTTGGTTTTAGGATACGAATGTGCAGCAGAAGTGAAGATAGAATAAAGAATTGCTGCTGGTGGACTTAACGGTAACAGCTGATCGTGGCCAAGACATGCTAATCATCGAGTCTTACGGCACATCAAATTTTGATACTATAGGACAGACCTAGACTACTGCGTTTCTACTTCGATGTGAGTCAGCACTGGAGGAGAGAATTTTCTGTATAGCACATCATTCTACTTTTAGTGTATTTTGAATTTTCAGTGGCCGTTTGACACGACAGTTGACCAGAAGTAGAATTCATGTTGGTGGTATGTTAGCTTTTGTGTACTTATAAAATTGCAACATTAGCTATGATGGCAATGCTTCGTTGACTAGCTAACATAATGCTGGTGCTAAAGTGAGTGGAAAGCAGAATCAATTTTGAGCGATGGCAGTAACATTGGACATTGCTGAACAAGTATCAGGGCAATTTTTTCTTTTCGTGCCTCTGTTGCTCCTCATTCTTCAACTTGCGTTCTTCATCTCCGGCTGACGGCTGACTTCCACCCTAGCTTTGCCATTTTGAGCTACATGCATCGTGAAAAATCTCAACAACAAACTGCAAACTTTGTTCAGGGCCCACCTTAAGATCAAATTGGACAAATAGTCACAATACGCGCTGTTTCAGTTGATGGCTGCAGAGAAGCGTCAGGATGAACGAACGAAAGAAGAGGTAGAATAAGTACAAACTGCAGCTTATCCCGTCGTCCTCAGCCTTTTTTCCGCTGCCACTCATAGTGCCAAGTGAAATTAAGGGGATGTGACATGTATTAGGACTCCTCACCTTATCTTCTCATCAGACACAAGGTCAACAAGACTGCCATGTCTAATCTTAACTTCAATCAGATACACTGGTTTATGACTCATCCTTTTGACATTTCCATGCATTCAGTCCCTAGCATACACGTGTGTCATTTGCTATGATCAAGTGAACAATGTGATCATTGCCACTTTGATCCAAGACCAAGTACGTTAAAAGTCAATCGTGTTAAGCAAATCAAAAACTTAATCATTCATACATACACGGTAAATGCACATGCTATCATTTCCAAGAGATAATCTTAAATTTCTTAATATTTTCTCTACTACCCTACATATACATGCCAGTATAGACTTGTAAGATATGTCCTTGCTACCGTATACGGGCAAAGACCAGTCTTAACAACCTCACTTTCGGCCGTATAGTAACTTTAAGCCCACTTATTGGCCTATGCGAGACGGACACGAGGCTTGGATCCACCTCAGCGTGAGCCTGCCGGCCGGTCTGTGCTGTCGATTTAGCACCGGTGAGAAGAGTCCGTCCACATGAAACAAAACATAAGGTCGCATGCTAGAATTTTTTTTGTTGGTAGCACTAGCGTCCGGACGCCCGCAGCTGCTCCGTCCCGTCCATTTGGATTCGTGCGCCGCCCACGTCGGCTCCATTTCCCGCGCTCGAATCCGAACTGCCCGCTTGAGATCCGTTGCCCACGCTGCTCGGATGACTCGCCCCCACCTCTTTCATACCGACGCGGCGACCGTCTCTTCCAGGCCGGCCGAAAGACTCGCCCCCGCCTCTTCCACAATAGCACCACGTGGCTTGTGCCTCCTCCCGACACCGTTGGCGACAGCCTGCGCCACCTCCACGGGTCGGTGGTCACGACTTAGCCCTGCCCGCCCTCATGGACACCAACGCATGCGGTCTGCACTTGCAACATGAAACACTCGAATGTAACATACATTTGAAATAGATGAAACATTTAGGACATACGCTTGCAACATGTGTGTGAAACATATGCAACGCAACATGAAAAAACAATTACTGCAACATAAGACAAACAATTGGAACATACTGTTGCAACATATGTGTGAAAACATATGCAACATCCAGATAAAAAATGATTGCAACATACGTTTGAAAACAGATGAAACATTTTGAACAAACGCTTGCAACATGCTTCTGAAACACTTTCAACATATGCAACATCTCCCGATCTACTTTTGCAACATCCATAAGAAACAACTGCAACATACCTTTGAAATGAATGAAACAGCTGAAATATACATTTGCAACACAAGGGAGGGAAGCCTAGTCCAGTTGATTCCAGTCGTTGGGGTCGAAGCCGGCGGTGAGCGGCGGCGCATGAGCACCACCGGCACCGGCACCAATACTGGGCTTGGCTCAGTGGCGATGGTGGGTGATGGGGCCGAGGATTGCCATGGCCACCGAGGTAGGGGAGCTCGGTCGCCAGGGTGAGAGAGGGTGCTGCTGGGGTGGGGAGGGCGCCGTGCTAGGGTGGAGGAGAGCGCCCACTCCACTGCAACACCGTCGTGCTGTCATGACCTGGTTCTGACACCCTTGTGAGCATCAGCATCATGAGCATCCTTGCATTCGAAATCAAATAATTAGAAACTAAACTCTGCATTCAAACTGCTCACTGTTGGATCGACGGAGAGTCTGCCAGCACCACCGGACCATCCGCCAGCCCATTTGCACGCACTGACAAGTTTAGACTCTGTCAGTCAGCAACCGACACCACCGGAGAGTCCGCCACCACGATGGACTATCCGATAGGATCGTCCCATGTAGAAATGTGAGGTGTCATTTTGAGAGTCACTTTGTCCCACACATCACCACAGTTGTCCAATTCGTGGAAGCACCAAAGCAGAGCAATCACCAGTTCACTCACTCACTCACACTCTCTCTCTCTCTCTCTTCATCTCTCTCTCTCTCTCTCCCACACTCAAGGAAGGAAGAGAAGGAAAGGAAGAGAAAGGATAAGGGATTGGAGCTTGGAGGCAGCAAGAGATGGCCGTGGAGATCACCTACAGGCCGTCGTCCACAAGAGGTAGGGGTTAGAAGGGGAGGAGCCCTCTCACCCTTGCCATAAGGAGATAGGAGGAGGAGTCAAGAAGAAGAGGATTTTGAGTCACCAAGGAGGAGATCCGGCTGCTCCATCACCTTGGAGAGCTTGGTATCTTGTTTTTGCAGCCCTTGGTAAGGATAGAACCAAGCCAAACATAGGATTGCATCTTTAGGAGCCAAAACCTAGATAATATCGATTTGTGTCCTAGAGTTAGTTTGCACCCAATGTAGCTAGAACTGTAACACCCCGGTGTTATGCCTACATTTAGGCACTGCAAATCACGCATATCATGCATCATCAAGCATCCAAATCATACATGCTTAATCGTGTGAATAATAATTGAAACATTGCTTTGAAACATCTGAAACATGCGCGAAACCTAGATGTTGCATACACCTGTTTAAGGATTGTTTTACCCTGAATTTTTCTTGCTAGGTTAGCAAAACATGTTTGGCTACTATTGTAAATCATCTAGCAATGTTTAGTTCAATTTTTGGAGCAATGTTTGTATTCAAATTAATTCAAAATTTGGCTTCAAAAATAAATTCCAAAAATTAGGGTTTTGAGCTAAACGCAGACTTTGATCTTACAATTCAAAATCTAGAAAGAATTTGGCTGTGGTCCTAAAAGCAAAGTTGTAGAGAATTAAATTCTAAGCAACTTTCATTTTTGGTACATTTTCAAAAGAGGTCATTTTCTTGCTCAAAATAATATTTGAAAGATGGCATTTAAAAATCCCTTGAAAATACAAATGAAAAAGGATTTTTCTCCTTTATGGGTCGCCGCCTCGCTTCAGCCCGCTCGCGGCAAGCCAGCCCACCAGCATCCTCCAGGCGCCTCGCCTCGCCGGCCCAGACTCACCTGGCCTGGCCTGCTCACGCCATCCACGCTTTCGCCGGCGGCCCAAATTTCCGTTCCCTCCCGTTGCCATTCGTCATCGTCCGCGCGCCCGATCATGGCAGAGACATTCGCCAGCGTGGCGACCATGTGTCGGGCGTCGCCGTTGCCTGGCGGCAGCTGCCGTTCTGAGTTCCGCCGCGCGCCATCGCTTACTCTGCTGGGCAGTCGCTCGCTCACTCCGCCCGGCCCGCCTTCCCTCTCTCCAGAGCAAAAGCGAAGCTCTCGCTCGCCATGCGCGCCCTTGGCTGGCGCGGCCGAGCTCCCGCACCACCGCGCATTCCCGATTCTCGCTACGCAACTCCGCCTCACCTTCCTTCAAGTCGCTTTCGCGCGGCACGCATCTCTCGAGCATGGTCGAGCCTCCAGCCGCCGCACGCCACCGACGGCCATGGCGCCCGTGCTGCGTTTCGGCCGCCATGGAAGTCGTCTTCCTTCTCTTCTCCCGCCTAGCCTAGCTACCCTACCAAGACTCGCCGTCTCCTCGCACATCCCGGCGTCATTAGCTTGCTGCCTGCCGTGGGGAGATGAGATGGCCGGCCTCGTGGCCGAGCCAGGCCATTGCCGCCACACAGACACCGGCGAGGCCTCTGCCTCACCGACCAAATGCCAGGCCAGCCGAGCAAAGTGGGCGGCGCACGCCGGGCCGTTTTCCCCTCCCGCAAGGCTGGTCCAGGCTGAGTGGGCGAAAACGGCCGTGGGCTACTGATTTCAATGGTTGGCCCAGATGGCGTTTGAATAAATGATTTCAATTTATTCTTTATTTGAAATGGTTTGAAAAATGTTTGGGTACTCAAATTTGCTTCAAATTTGTTGAAACAAATTTTTCTAGGTTCCTTATCACCAGATCTACTTGGGAAAAATTGTGCATGTCATTTTTGAGATACTTTTCTATAGGATTTTATTTAATCTTGAATATTCTTGATAACTTGAAAATATGTAGAAAAATATATAGGCTTCAGAAAAATATGATTCCAAGTTTGTTAATCTTCTTATGTCATGTACTTCCTAGGAAAAATATGTTTCATGCATGTGCTGCGGGAAAATTTTGAGGTGTAGTTCAAGTACCTTTAATGGCTGATTTTTGTTATTTTTGCTAGAGCACAAATTTTGTATAAAACATGCATGTGACAATTTTTGTACAGTGATTATATACTATAAAGAACATAGGAAAAATACTCAATCTGTTGTTTGACACTTTTCATAGTACAAAGTAATTTCATG